AAAATTTCCACTGAGAATCAAGGATGTTACTCTTCAAATCAACAGAGGTGGATGATTCCAGGCGCTATGACTTACAAAATCCTGGGAGGCTCATTATTTTGGTTATTATTTGAGGCAGAATCTGGTGTTCCCCTGTCCCGGGATATTTTGAGGGGAGGGATCACCGGCACACACTCTCCTGGGTCCCCTGCCTCCCTTGTCTCGGGGTTCACTACAGACGCCACGGTCAGGGATAAGAAGCTGTCTGCCTCCCTCAAGTGTTGGAGAAGTTTCTATAACAGCTTCTGGCACTCGATGGAAGAAATGTCTTTGCCTCTTTTGCTCGCCCCTTCTCTCCAGTCTCCATCTCCCCAGCTGCTGCTCTAATAGAAGTTAAAGGGGAAATGTCTTTGACTTACAGAATTCCTCACTGGCTAAATACCATTAAAAACTGTGAGTTACTGAATTCTCAATGACTCCCACTTAACTTTTATCTCTGACTCATATTCATGGCCAGGCGTCCTGCGGAGAGCCGGCAGCCTCGTCTGAAGCTGTGCCCTCGTGTAATAGGCGGCAAGCCCGCGGCGTGCTTTCATCCTCGGGCCAGCGGAGAGCCTGGATCCACGCTGGTATGCATTTCACCTCCCTTCTGAGTCATGACTTTACATCTTGTTAAGATGTTTAAGTCTTGAGGCTCTAGATTCTGGATTGATGGCTGCCTTGCCCTTTTTATTTCAGGCAGGGGGAATGCTTCTTCCTTGATGATGCAGTGCCTTCTCTCCGCCCACCCCTCCTTCACGAAGGGTGAAGGTGATGACATGATTTATTGATTACCCCCAGGAGTAACCACAGCAGCCTGAAGTTGACTGCGACGGTGACAGAGACTGACAGCGGAAGGACTTCGGAGGTATTCTGGCTTGATTTCCGCCCTCCAGCAGGGACAGGACGAACTCAGGAACTGTCCTCAGGTCCTTCAGGCCCGCAGCACAGGAGAAAGGAACAAAACCCACTCCTCTTTCTTCCCTTTCTCTTGCTTTATCTTCCTTTTGTAGATGTCAGTGGTTTGTGGTAGGAACTGGGTTTAGCAGAGTTTGCATTGCTCAGAGTCACGGGGGTGATATTAACTCCCGTGAGCTGCATGCTGAGCACCAGACACGGCTGATGTTCCTGATGCATTACGAGAGCGTCAATCTTCCCAGCACCCCATGAGGTAGATACCATCTTGCCCCCACCTTGCAGGTGAGGAACTAACGAGCCTGAGAGACGGGGCGACGTGCCCGCTGGAACTGAAGGGCCCCTGAGATGTCAGAGCAGGCTGGGCTGGCTCCAGGGGGTGGTGGGCCCCAGTGCCACACACCGCATGCCTTCCCGGGGACAGGCGCGAGGAGGTCTCTGCTTTGCTGGAGCCATTCTGTAAACACCGGTTCGGTGCTCATTTTCTTTGCAGCTAATTATCTCCATAACACGTCACTTGCAGCTTTGGCACCTGCTGGGCGAGCGGCACAGGAGCCACACAGCATCCCTGTCTGTGCCCTGGGCGCTGGAGTCCATTTCTCATCGTGTTCAGGGCGGGCTCCTTGGACCACAGCTGTGATCAGCTGCCAACCAAGGTGCGCGCCATCCCGGGATCTTTACAACCACATCTGCTGTATTAAAAGCTCCGGCCTTGCAAAGGCAAGCAATTAAAGCGTCTTAGCGTTCCCCTCTGTTTCTGCCTCTCTGAGCTCAGAGGCAGGAGTGGGAACTCAATCCCACGGCAACTAGTACTGCAGCCAGAAGGTGGCAGGACGACACCGCAGGCTGGGACCGCTTTCTCCAAATTAACTCTCCGCAGAAAGGGAGAGTCTGGCATGAAGCAGAAACTGTATTTATAGAGAATTCCCACAGCAATCTAAACACTGAACCTTGGTCCTAATTAGCTGCTATGCTAATTGCCTTGGTTTGAATCTGTTTTAGGCCAACTTTGAAAAAAAAAAAAAGTCCTCTTCCCCACCTCACTGTTTCAGAAACAGACCCTTATCTGGAAGCCTGAAGAATGTTCACAAAGTATGTCCCCAGGCAGCTGCAGGACACAGCAGGGTTCCAGATGACACAACGGACATTTAATGGTTAAATCTATTAAACACGGAAGGCGATTTGTATTTGATGAGAAAAAAAAAAATGTGCAAGTTATAGCAATAAACGTTCTTTCCCAAATGAAGCCAAAATGAAAAAAGAGCAGCAGGAAGAGAAGGGGGACGTGTAGCAATACTCGCTCCCAGGGAAAAAGTAACCCCCCTCACCCCTTGAGACGGTTCAGCGGGGGCAGCTCAGGGCGGGGTCTCTGTGTACCTGCGGGCCCCTCATACAGAGGCTCCTGAGCACACTCGCGGAGCTCCTTGATCCCGTCCAGCAGAGACGGGGGCGCTCCTCCCGGGTCAGGGTCCAGCAGTAGCTGATGCTCTCCGAGGCTGATGTCTTCGAAGTGGCCGCTCAGCTCGCAGTCCTCCAAGTCAGCAGAGAGCGGATGGAGCGGGCCGTCGTGCGCAGACATGGGGAACGCGCCTTCCAAGCCCAGGGGGGAGCCGGGCGGGGACAGGGAGGACAGGGAGGACCTCGAGGACAGGGATGTCACGGACTTGGGGGCCTCGGCCAGGGGGGCGGGGCGGCCGGGGGCTGCGGCCGCCGCCCCCCCGGGACCACTCTGGCCAGGCTGGCTGGGGGATTTGGCCACCTCGTGTTCGTGGATGGTGGTGATGGGGCCGGAAGGCATGTAGCCGCCTTTCTCCTGCAGGAGGAAGTCCAGTTTGTACTGATAATCCGCGTCCAGCTGGTCGCCCTGGCTGGTGTAGTAGAGCTCGCTGGAGCTGAGAGAGTTGAGCGACCCTCTGCTGGACGTGTTCAGGGACCCCCGGCTGGAGGCCAGGGAGCCCAGGCTGCTCCCGGAGGACATGGACAGGGTGCTGGCGGAGAGGCTGGGAGAGGAAGGCGCACAGTGAGAACTCGGACGCGGGCTTCCCTGGGGGCGCAGCGGTGAAGATCCCACATGCTGAGCAGCAGCTCAGCCCGTGCACCACAGCTATTGAGCCTGTGCTCCGGAGCCGGGGAACTGCAGCTACTGATGCCCCAGCACCCTGGAGCCTGCGCTCGGCAACAAGAGACGCTGCCGCCATGAGAAGACCAAGTGCAACACCTAGAGAGTGGCCCCTGCTCGCCGCAGCTGCAGAAAAGCCCATGCAGCGATGGAAAATCAGCACAGCCAAAATAAATAAACAAAACTTAAAACACAAAAACAAAACAAAAAACCTCCATGATGTGGATGGAAGCCCCTGCTGGCTCCTTCGGCAGAGAGGGAAGGAGCCCAGCGATGCCAAAGATCAAGGTCAACGACCGGGGAAAGGGCACCTGCTGCCACACCACACGTTTCCACGCCTAGTCATGAACATTTCCAACCCGGCTCTCTAAAGACTCTTTAAGGAGCAATCCTACCCTTACCAAAATCACCCTCCTCGCGTAAAAGTTTACAAAAAATTTAAAAAGGGATCAAACATCTATTGATAAATCTATCTGCATAAATATCCGTAAGCAAATGTGCAATTAAAAATACATAAAAATGTGTGTGTGTGGTGGTGGTGGGGTAAACAGTAAGAAGGATTAATGCAGTGACTTTACTTAAAGAAGGAAATCTTTTATTGTTTGTAAAAGATTTCATTTTCAGCTTCTAAAGAGGAAGGCTGCTGGGCTCACTCCCTTTCTTCCTCTTTCTGAGTATATTTTGGAAGTGAATGTGTGGCTATTTTAGGGCAAATCTCCCTTTTTAAAAGAAAGGATGATGTGGAGAAATGTGTTATTTTCCTAAGTATGTCCTGATCATTCAAATATATCTTCTTCCCGACACATTGCAAACAGCTTCCAAACAGGACCCTGGGGTTCATGTAAGCAAACAAACAAATCTCTCCAACTTTAAATTTGGTTAGGTTTTAACTGTACTAGTGTAACTATTTTCTTACTTTTAAGTCATCAAAAATAAAGAGGTGGTAATTGAAGCAGAATTGCAACATGCCTGAATGTAGCCAAGAAAAAATTTCCCCTCAAGAACCAAACAGGCTTACTTTTTAAGTTGTGAATGCAAATATGTAGTTAGTTTAGTAGTTTCTTCAAGTTTCTGTAGCAGCTCTTTCCTTCGCTCTTCCAATTTCAATCTAGACCAAAAAAAAAAAAAAAGAGAGAGAGAAATAAATTTATTTTCACATAATTATGATAAGCATGGAAACTGAAGTGGAAATAAAAAGATTCTTATTATTTTCCCTTCTGAAATTTAAATGAACTTGACAGAAAGAAAACAGAAGGAAAGTGGGCAGATTAACAGCCACTGAGAGAAGGGGAGAGATGTCTGAGTGGACAGTGTTACTAGAACTTGCAGAATTCTGGTGTTCTAAACTTTTCTCAAATGAGTAAAAAAACCTCACACTCACAAATTAGGGAAAGACAATGGGGAGGAAAAGAAAACAAAAGAGATGAGCGAAGATTAAGGATCCTTCTGCAGGCTCGTGACTTCCGCTTCCGTTACTGAAACATCAGACAACAGTAACAGGGAGTTAGGAAAGATCATCTGAGCACGGAGTTTGGTAAGGACGGTTCTGAAATCACATTCAGTGACAAGGATTCCAATCTCATTTTGATGAGGATTCTGGCGATTAAGACACAAATTAGTCCAGTGTCCATATTGCCAGTGTGAGCTTATCTTGGCTTAACCCTTTGAGCAAGCAAAAGACATAAAAGTGATTTCCATCGAAAGCACCTCTCATCACCTGCAATTGGATTTTCATGAAATTTAATCCACATTCAGCTGAACAAGTTTTTATGAGATTGAAAAAAAAAATCCAAGTATTATGGAATTGCGTACTTGAGTAAGCCATTTTAAAAACACATCAAGCATACTGACTACATCAGGGTCTTTAGATATCATTGCAAAGAGCAGAAGGGGACCCAGGAAACCACCATGATTTTGATTCTGGGGTGGGCTGCTTACTGGCGTGTCCTTACGGTAAGTCACCTAACCGTGGCTCCTGACTTCCTCATCTGTAAAATGGTGATTATAATCCTGCCGCGTCCACCTGCTAAGGCTGTGGGAGGGATCAAACGAAGCCAGCCACGTGCGTGAAAGAGCTCCGCAGACATCAAAACCAACCTCCCGTGTTCAGAGCCTCAGCACGCCCTGTGAGGTGCTGATACAAAAATTAGCTACTTTTCTTTCCAGAAAAAGAAAACTTCCCTAATTTTTCAACCTCTTTGAAATCTTATGTACATTTTAGGCAGCGAGGAAACATGCCCATATTTTATTTATAGATATCTATCCTTTGATGTGTCACCAACACAATTTCACTCTGTGTTAAAATAAAAAAAAAAAATAACTCTTGTCATTTTGTTTAGTACTTCAAAGGATGATAAATTCTTAATTCACAGCTTTCACAGGTGTATTTTGAAAAGGAGTACGGTCCCTGTTTTTTTTTTTTTTTTAATCTCTTAAATATAAACAAAAACAAGGAAAAATATTAATTCAAAGTAGATGAACTGAATTAGAAGGTACACAAAGGTCTGGAGAAAGTCCTTCAATCCACCTGATACAGAAGCAGTACTTTTGAGGTAAGTTTTAAAACTAAGTGTCACACATACACAAAGGTTTTTTGGTGTGTTAAAAAGCAGAGACGTTACTTTGCCAACAAAGGTTCATCTAGTCAAAGATATGGTTTTTCCAGTAGTCATGTTTGGATGTGAGAGTGAATGTGGATGTGGACTGTGAAGAAAGCTGAGCNCTTAACAAAGGCCCCAGGAGTCACAGAAGCCCTGCCGGGGGGTGGCGGGGGGGTGACTGTCACTGTCCTTGGTCAAGTGCCCCACCTCCTGTCTTTGATGAGATCAGAGCCTCTCCTGGTGGGAGCTGGTTCCCGGTCTCCTTCCTGGAAAATGACCTCTCCCCCTTCTGCAGTAGGGCCGAAGATGCTGCTCAGATGTCAGCCTTGTCTCATGACACCCTTTTCCAGCCCCGGCCAGTGGTCCTCCTCTTCCAACTGGCCCCGAAGGACCCATCCCACGGTCCCACGGCTCGGCTGCCCTTGGCAAGACAGGGTGCCTTGGCACCCCTCACCTCTGCCCCTGGTGTCCCCAGGGGGAAGGCGCACGTCATCTACAGAAGGAACAAGTTCCTTTCCCATTAAAAAACAAAAACAAAAACCCCACTCATACCCCCCCACTTGCTATAAATTTTTTTCAGTAAGTGAAAGTCGCTCAGTTATGTCTGACTCTTCACGACCCCATGGACTGTATAGTCCATGGAATTCTCCAGGCCAGAATACTGGAGTGGCTAGCCATTCCCTTCTCCAGGGGATCTTCCCGACCCAGGGATCGAACCCAGGTCTCCCACATTGCAGGTGGATTCTGTACCAGCTGAGCCACAAGGGAAGCCGTTTTTTTCAGAGCCAGTGGCAAAAATATTCATATAATTAAGAGAGAATGAAGACATCTTGGCAAGACGTAAGGCAAAACCCCTAAGAGCTGCGAAAAAAGAAGAAGCAATGTTAAGATCTTATTAGCTGTTGGAAAGTGCAGGGTTTAAGGAATTTGAGTAACTGTAAGGAAAGAACAGACAGATGCATAGGAAGGCTTTGTTCACTTGAGAGCCATTTCTCTTTGCGGGAGATGGGTCACACAAAGCATTGTTCCGCCCGATGCGCTTTATGACCACTAGGGGGCGAGCTTGGTCCCCTTGGTCCTGAGAGTCAGTGACCCCCAAGGACTGGGGCTGGGGGACTCTGGGGGCTCACATTCCGGCTGAAAATTCATGTGAGTTCTGTGGGCTCCTGCAGAGACCACAAGTCAGTAACGACCCAGGATCTCACCTGAGAATCTCTTAAATCTTGAAATTTAAGAGACACAGACACAGACACTCAAGAGCATCAAGGTTAATTCAGGCAAACAACTGAAGTCTGCCTTCTGACCCTTACGTTTTGTTTGTTTTGGTCTTGCTCAGATGGGTCCCTGCCTGGCCAGCCCGGCTCGCACCTGTGAGATGTCATCGCGGGAGGGGAGGAGATGCAGGGGAGTGATGAGAAGTATTTAAGACGGTGAAAGGCCGTCATCTGTAAAGGGTCCTCCTGGATACTTTCTCACGCTCCTGAAAGCTGTGACGCTGCAGCCATGAGCCACCTCCTTCAGCAACTTAACTCACGGAGGCCAACGCTCCCCACACGGTCATGGTTAAACAGGTGCCCACATTAACGCGTGACTAGGAATGTCAGAGGTGTTTTTCCCTGCCCACCACCTCCGCCTTCTCCACCACTCTACTTCTCAAATGCTTTGATACTATGTCAACACACAACCTTAAACGCATATAAAGGACAAGGCATGCAAGAAGCCAAGAAGTTTAAAAAAAAAAAGAAAAAGAAAAAAAGTGATTGGATTATGGCTGGGGATTTTAAACTTACTTCCAGGTCACCTGAAAATACGCGAATGTGAATTTCTTGCCCTTCATTCTGCTCCTTACCTGTGGGCCTAAATGATGTGGGGTGGGGTTCTAAAGGGCTACCTGGCTTATGGTTGAGACAGGGAAACAGGGGTCTGGGCATCGGTCAGCCCGGCCTGGACCCCGAGGGGCGATAGCCTTATGGCGAACACAGGGGTCCCTTGGCTTGAAGTGCATCTGATCTGCTTACAGAACTGCACTTTTTTTTAGATCAAATGATCAATTTACACCTTCCCACAGGAAGATCTAAAAATGGCTTAAAGTATGTTCCCTTCTATTTTCCACCTGCTTCAGTGAGGGTTTCAACTGACAAAGTCCAAGCGAACGTCTTGTGACCTGCTGAAATATCCTTGTGAAGTGAAAAGCAATAACCTTTTGCATTCCTGAGAGTAATATAGCCCAGAGTGGGAAGCTTCGGGGCTCTAACAGTCCAGATAATCTCTCTTATCAGAGTGCATAGTTTACAGCTACTGTTATCAGACTGCATTCCTGGTTTTCTGTCAACATTCCTTAGCTATTCAACATCTGTCTCAGGCATTTTCACGCTCTCGACAGTTACCGAGGAGGAACCACGGGGCCCAAGCCGCCTCTGCTTTACTGCTCTACCGGGCAGGTCCTTCCATGCTGGCGTTTGATCCGCCAGAGGCGGGACCAGCGAGGCCGGCCCGGGGCCCGGGCGGGGCACGCACCTCTCGGCCAGGGCCCGGCGGGGCGCGCCCCTCACGGCCAGCAGCTCCTCCTCCAGCCGCTGCCTCTCGGCCTCCAGGCTCTCCAGCTCGTCCTGCGTGCGCCTCTGCGGAGTGACGAACTGCAGCTCCTTCAGAAGCTCTTCCTTCTCGTGGATCAGCATCAGCTTCTCCTTCTCTATGTCCAGCGTCCCAGGCCACGCCTCGCTGTCCAGCTTCGAGAGCTCAATTTTCAGGTTGGCCATACTGAAATAAAACCTAGAGTCAGTATCTTCTAATAACCTATAATGGAATATAATCTGAAAAATAACATGGTGGTGGTTTAGACGCTAAGATGCGTCTGATTCTTTTGCGACCCCATGGACGGTAGCCTACCAGGCTCCTCTGTCCATGGGATTCTGCAGGCAAGAATACTGGAGTGGGTTGCCATTCCCTTCTCCAGGGGATCTTCCAGACCCAGGGATAGAACCCAGGTCTCCTGCATTGCAGGCAGATTCTTTACCATCTGAGCCACTGGGGGAGCCCCCCACCCCCAAAACAATATATGTGTATATGTATAACTGAATCACCTTGCCATGCACCTGAAACGTTGTGAGTCAACTGTACTTCTATAAAATATATCTGTTATGAAAATAAAATAAGAAAAAATAAAATGGCCTTGCCCTTTCCAAGAAGTCCCAAGGAGGGGAAAACTTAGGCAGGCCGAGTCTGGGGCTGACCCCCAGGGCAGCCAGGACGGGCGACCGAGCCACAGGCCCCAGTCCGGTCCCTGAGCTGATGCTGCCCTGACTGCTCATCTGCCTCACCCTCTCCACCTCTACAGTCCAGGTTAGCACACCTACTACCTGAAAAGAAGGATGAAGGTCAAACTACACAGATGCTCAAGAAGCAGAGGACCCGTCAGCCCTGATCGCTGAACACCTGAGGGCTTTGTTAAAAAAAAAACCACAACTCTGGTGAGTGATGTCTGAAATGCCCTTTTTCTGGCTCTCCTCCTCTGGGTCGAGATGCTGTCCCCGGGGTACACTGGCAGCAACTGAAGATCAGCCAGTCAGGGCAGGGGAGAGGACAGGGCTGGGCCACCCTGAACCAGGACCAAGGCAGCCCCTCGAGATCGCAGCATCGCCAGTGAAGAGCTGGCCGGGCTGAGCCTCCTCCAGCCACTTCCTTCGTCCTCCGGCCGCACACAGGGAGCTCGCTTCCCCGCGGACGCTGCGTTGACCTGGTCTTCCTCTGAACACAGCTGGCAGCGGCGTCCAGCACAGGTGGCGGGAGCGGCCCCACCAGGGTGGCGGCAGGAAGGGGCCCCGCGGCCAGGAACGTGGGGAGGAGGAAAAGGCAGCCAAGGGACTCCTCCCCAGCTTCATGATTTTGCTGATCCCAGACCTCACCGCGTCTAGGGCTTCGTACTCAATGATCAAGTCAACTCCCGAGTCAATCAGAATGACTACCTGAATCCAATAACTCGGTCTGGGGCACCGTGAGGACTGTCGGGAGTCTTCAGGAGAGGAATGGCCCTTGGATGTTTTGACCACAAGTATAAGATGAAGACAAACTATGGGGACTCCCCTGGTGGTCCAGTGGCTAAGACCCCTCACTCCCAACTCAGGGGCCTTGGGTTCCATTCCTAGTCAGGGAACCAGACCCCACATGCCACAACTAAGAGTTTGCAAGCTACAACTAAGACCTGGGGCAGCGAAACAAATAGGTAAATAAATATCTTTCAAAAAGGTAAGTTACGAACACAACTGATATTGGCATGCTACTAAGTCACTTCAGTCGTGTCCGACTCTGTGCGACCCCATTGACGGCAGTCCACCAGGCTCCCCCGTCCCTGGGATTCTCCAGGCAAGAACACTAGAGTGGGTTGCCATTTCCTTCTCCAATGCATGAAAGTGAAAAGGGAAAGTGAAGTCGCTCAGTCGTGTCCGACTCTTTGGAGTGGGTTGCCATTTCCTTCTCCAATGCATGAAAGTGAAAAGGGAAAGTGAAGTCGCTCAGTCGTGTCTGACTCTTAGCGACCTCATGGACTGCAGCCCACCAGGCTCCTCCATCCATAGGATTTTCCAGGCAAGAGTACTGGAGTGGGGTGCCATTGCCTTCTCCGGATATTGGCATGAGGAACCCCATATTCCTATTTCAAGATGTTGGATGGTTTTCTATCATTATCACAGCATATACCAGAAGACGATGAAGATAGAAACGGGGGTGCTTGCCCCCTCTTGTAGATGGAAGACGTTGCAGAAGAGAAGAAAAAGGTGACTGAAAAACGTTATCAGGACCAAGAGTGAAGTAGCTCCGCATTTTTGTGCCTTCAGTTTCCTGTTTGAGTTAACAAGAAAGTTGCCACCTTAAACTGTGCTGTGTGTATAACGTACTTGTGATTTTCACCTGTCGTCTGCACTTATGATAGATGTAACATCAGCTATTCTTCAGCTTTAGCCACAAAACCGTAAACAACTGTCTCAACGTACTGGAAAATTAATCATCAAAATGCTAAATAAGCATGATATTATTAACTTCATTAAGCATGTAAAACAAAGGCTGCAGGAGAAAACAGGTTTCCGAGAAACACAACCCAAACACAAGTAAACACAAAATTCTTTACTTATTCAGAATTAAGGAAGAAAAAGCACTTTCAACACATGCAGAAATCTCTGAGACTTACTATCTCCTCAGAATCATTAGTAACTTTAAAGCTAAACCCCAAATGGTAACAGAAACAGCAATGCAACTGAATGGGAAAGAACCAACATCTTAAGTCTTGATGGGACTGAATTAAATAACTGAAGCGAGAGGAACGATGTAGTGAAAGAAAGAACAGCACCTGTTGCTTGTGGGATCGGGCATTAGGAAGGTCTTGAATTTGATTTGGAAAGAGTGCGTTAAATCTGGGCAAGAAACTGTGATGCTTTCTGGGAACGCCTAGAAGACAAGTGCTGTTTAAGCTCCAGGGGGAGCCAGAGCCCAGCAGAAGCTCAAGCTGGCCCAAGGGAAGTCGAGGCAAGTCCCAAAGACGAAGGGGCATGACGCCCACCTCCCCAAGATTAATTCTGAGTTACGGCAGGCCGTTCTCCTTTGGAAAGCCAGGCACCGATCCCGGCTTTGTTTATTTCGGAACCAAGGAGCTCTGGCGGCTCGGGGGCTGGGGTGCCCATAGCCGGAGCGCCCCGAACGGGCTCCCACGTCCCCAGGCCGCAGCAGCACAAAGGAGCCCTCAGTCCTGGTAGAGGGGAAAGCGCCAGTCCTGGACAGGAGAAGCAGACAACGTGGGCCACGACACTTTTCCTACCCTCAAGACATTTACAATCCACCTGGGAACCTTTACAGGCGTTAAAATTAGCCGGGTACAATGCTGCTCAGAGAGGCGAAGTGACTTGCTCAAGCTCACGTGGTTAATAATTTGTGGAACAAAGCTTAGGGTTCTTTCAGTAAATCAAAGAACCAAGTAATATTAGTAACAGAGGCTACGCAGAGGCAAATACTGGATTGAGGCAGATCAAATAATGGCATTGTTAAAGCCAGACAACCTCTAAGAAATCTGGCCAATGACTTTTTTTTTTTTAAGATTTATTTATTTATTTTTTTGATGTGGACTGTTTTAAAAATCTTTATTGAGTCTGTTACAATACTGCTTCTGTTTCATGCTTTGGGTTTTTTTTTTTTTTGGCTGCGAGGTCTATGGGATTCCCAGCTTCCCACTCCCTGCATTGGAAGACGAAGTCTTAACCACTGGACTGTCAAAGAAGCCCCTAGCCAATGACTTTTAAATTCTCATTATCACCAGTATTAACGGATGTAGCTCAGTATCCACCCTCCGGGCTTCCTTGCGGTGGGAAACCACACGTGTTCTCAGCTGAGCCGCTCATGCTTCTGATAATACAGGCCTGTGCCCCCAGGCACAGGGGGGCTGTTCCTAGACAACGGAACAGCAGCATCCTCACACTCTTAAAAGGAAAATGATGAAGTGTTTCAGGATGACCCTCTCTCAGAACAAGCACAGTTCCTACGTTTATGAAAACCCACCGTGTCTGTCACCAGCTCAAGGACAGAGGAGTCTCCCAGACCCTGCCCGGAGGCACAGGTAAGAAAAAGGCAGTGAGGCTGTGCTGAAGAAGAGTAGAAAGGGTAAAGGAGGGACCCCCCGGAAGTGAGTGACACTCAGACACCCAGGCATCCCCCAGGACACCAGCGGGGGGTCTTCCCTCCGCCGCCGAGGAAGGGGCTTGAAACTGTTTACCTTCAAACTCCTAGCTGCTCCCAAGCCCAGCACCCGTCTCTGCAGCACTGTCTGGGGAACCAACCTCCTACTTTAAATTGTGAGTAGGTACCATACAGCCTTAAAGCGTCTTCCTTCCAGAAAGAAGGGGACAGTTCCATTCCTGCCCTTCTCATGAATTCTCCTTGTTCTTTTTGGCTTTGGGTGGGCTAGGTAGGGACCCCACAACCTTTATATTCCAAGATCTGAAGGGTGATCTCGGTAAGAACGCGTGGTGAGCGCCCAGCAGATGTCACCACAGGAATGAAGATGAATTCTGGAAAACACCGGGTGAGCCCCTGACCACTGACCGCACACGGTTCCCCTGCTGTTACCTTCTTCTGGCTTCTTCATACTGAAGGCTCAGCCTGACCTTTTCAGCTAAATTTGATCTACTTCTCACTCCGATCTAGTTTAAAAAAAAACAAAAGGGAAAAAGTCAATTAACTCTGCTAATGAATGAAGTAAAACTGCTTTTGTTTCTAGGAAGTACGAGTAATTGAAAAGCTAAAGAAGATAGCATCGAAATTGGGAACACCAGTTTGCAAAGGCACTTACTTTTGCGTCTCAGTGGGGACAAAACATTTCTTTTTAATTCAAGCTTGTTGAATTTTTTTCAAAGACTTTAACATCCTTTTCTCTACACATTAAAATCAGGATTAAAAAAAAATCAGGTAAATGCTTCTGGTGTCTAAGAGTTTATGAAGGGCGTACAGGTCAATAAAATTTATGAACTGGAACTAATTTCCTTGTCTCTGTGAGCCAAAATTTCCATCATTTAACTTCCAACTGCATAAACACAAATAAATTACTTCAAAAATTAATTTTTCAAACAGGTAAGCCCTACTGTTGATCTCTACCTACTCTACTTTCATAGCACAGAATTCAAAGAACACAAAAATAACTGGGAACTTATTGAAAAATAAAAATCTGCTAATGGTGTCCCAAAAGGTGGACTGTAAACTGGTAATAATATTCAAACCACATTAAATATTTTCAAGTGCCAGGTATAAACCACCAAACATTTTAATATAATCAACTTCAGATGTGTAAAGCAAGTTCTTTGGTTTCATTTTTAAAGGCCATATATTTATGTTTTTCATTAGCCTTAATGTGTATTTGGAAGGACCTTAATTTCCAAGGCTCTGAACTTAAGAGGAAGAAACTTCTCACGTGTCTCTTGTCTTTCAATAGAGTCTCTGAATAAATACAGTGTGAGAAAGTTTGAACCAAGCTATTCATCTGGACAGATTCTGATATGCTTGGCACCTAGGCAGAAAAGATAAGGCTAAGATTTGTAAATCCAATCTTATGAGTAGGAAATGCTGCATGCACACAGCTGGAACCTGCACCCCCTTGCCGGCCCCCATCCCATCTGCCAGCGATGCAGGGCCCATTCGGGCCCATCCAGGCAGGGCCCAGGCCAGCCCTTCCACACGGATGACTTACGTCCCCGGAGATGCTGGTCTGTGAGCCCGCGTCCAGGGTCTGTCTGGAGAGGGAGAGATGCGAGTTCTCAGGACTGGATCTCAGGTCCGGCTCAGACGTGCCGATGCTCTGGTCCACGTGAAACCGCCCTTGCAGCTTCGCGAGGCTCTGTTCAGGAAACACGAAGCACTTCGTGGAGCCGAGCACTGAGGCGGGTGAGGCTTCCCCACCAGGGAAAAACTACGTCGGAAGAGCTAATCTCAGTGGAAACAATTCCTTTATCTTAGTGGAGAAGGAAACGGCAACGCACTCCAGAGTTCTTGCCTGGAGAATCCCAGGGACAGAGGAGCCTGGCGGGCTGCTGTCTATGGGGTCGCAGAGTCGGACACAACTAAAGCGACTTAGCAGCAGTAGTGGGTGTCTACCTCTTTAAATGACTGAAAAAACTAAGGGTACAAGACAGCTTTTGCACATACATGCAGACTCTGAAAACATGTGAGATCATATTAAAACAGGTTATCTTCTCTTTCACCCTGTGAATCATGGTATTTTTATATTTAATAGATGTATTTCTTATTTTAAAAATTTTTTGAATTACTTTTTTACTGAAGTATAGTTGAAATATAATGTGGTAATTACTGCTGTACCACAAGGTGACTCCGTTATATATACAAATGCATTTCTCATTTTGAAAAATTTGTTAAAAAGAAGTCTATTTTAATGAGGGCCACCCATTTTATGTAGTACAAATTCTGGAGACATGGGATACCTATAATGCAATCTCATTTTAGATAAAGCAGGCAAACTTCCTACTGAGAAGATGTCTATAGTTATGCCATTTGATATCTGGATAGGATCTAAGAGATTATTTAGCTCATGTAGACGTTAGAGATTAGGAAATAGACCCCAGAAGCTGCAGTCTATCAGTACCAGTGATGATGTTTGGTTTGGGGAAGTGCATAACTACAATTGAACATGACTGCTGTCCGCATCCAGGTTTAATATAGTGAGTTTATTTTAGAGGGAAGATGTGAACCAGTGATAGCATTAAAAATGAAAAGTCTAAACTTCTATCACCCCCCACCCCTTTACAAACACTAACAAAAGCGTAAGAAGCTCATTATTATCGGCTGTAAGAAGAGCCAGGATTTATTCCTGACATAGAAAATCCTCATGATAGGAAATTAGAACTATCAGAGATCTGAAACTTGTTTTGTTACCTAACCTCTATTTTCTTTCAAAGGCATTTTTATACAAAATTATATATTTTTATATAAAATGTATGAGGGATAAAGTGTAAAATGGTCACATGGAATAATACATTACAAAAAAGAACAAAGAAACCTTTTAAAGACTTTGGACAAGTCTCTTCTACTTTTTTATGTGAACAGTGAAAATATATATACTTTTTCAAACCTATCTGGGATGACCACAAATTCAATTAATTTAGTAGGTCATGTGGAGAAGGAAATGGCAACCCACTCCAGTGTTCTTGCCTGGAGAATCCCAGGGACAGAGGAGCCTGGTGGGCTGCCGTCTATGGGTTGCAGAATCAGACACAACTGAAGCGACTTAGCAGCAGCAGCAGCAGGTCATGACTAGTATGTTTTAAAATGAAATAGAGGAGACTAGGAAATAAAATCAAAGTATATTACTAGTATCAAAAGCAAGCATATTTCTGTGAAATTTGATGTGTGTGTGTATCTACAGGTAAAGATATTTGTGTTACTGTGTTTTGATGAAAAATATATTTCTTACTGTGGGTTGTATCCAAAGAGGTTTGAAAGTCACAGAAGATATCTAAAGCCCTTTTCAGCTCTGTTATTGATTTCTGTATCTATCACTTATTTTACATATTTTAGTGATTTAAAAGTTATCTAATTTTTAAACTTATATGTATAAATTCAAAGTTTACAGGAAGAATCAAAGAGGACCTAAAATTGGTAAATTATGAGGGTCCAATGTAAATCTGTACAAGAACCATTACCTTCTTTCAGGAATGACTGATTTAATCAGCAGGATCATTGTAGAACAACAACAAAAAGCGTATCCAAGTAAAGTTCTGTATGCATTACGTGTATGTTAGAACCATATATTCTAAACAAGACTGCCTGGGTTTGAACCTGGGTCCTGCCACTTATCAGCTGTGTGACTTTCAGTAAGTAACTTAACTTCTCTGTACTGTGGTTTTCGTATCTGTAAGTTGAGGATAATAACGGAGCCTATCTTTAGGGCTGCTGTGAGAATTAAATGCAGTATTTCTATGCAAAGCAGGCAGAAGATTGTCTGGCACGAAGTCAGTATTTTAAGTATTTGCTATTATTACTGTTGTCTTTTATATTTCATTGTTTCTTAAAAGATATTTTAAAAATCCCCCAATGCAAAATTATATGGGTTTAAGAATATTCACGTGTATTCAACCAGAATTTTGGAAACTGACATTAAGTAGCTGAATATTTTATTCAAATGTAGAGGCTCTGTTCACCATGGGCTGTAACGTTTTTGAAAGACACAGACTAAATCGTCATCCAGCTAGGTGAAGAATTCCAAATATCTGAACTATTACAAAGAATTCTCAGTGCTTGTGATAATTATGGGATAGAAGGAGGGGAGGAGGAGGAAGAGATACCTCTTAAAAAAAAACATGACTGTATGTGCTATATGTAGATGCAGAACACTGATTGCGCAGTGGTTGTTTTATCTGCACACGGGCTGGGCCAGTGGAGCTCAGGTCTGTAGGGTGAGACGTGTACAGGTGTGACCAGGGGATCTACTGCCATCACCCTGTCTCCCAGGTGACCCCACAGCTGCCCCCCAGCTGGGTCAGCATCCCTCCATGCCACCCCCAGCTAGCACTTCAGAATCTCCTGGGGTGGGGAGTAACTCTTCTAAGCTCCTCGCACCCCTCCCCCACTTCTCAAGGTGTATAATCTACTCACTGATGGCAGGTGACATGCCCTTTCTGTATCCTGGGCTAAGGATCACTTGTTTAGATAACCCCACCTATCAGGGCTCCACCTGAAGTTTGCAGTAAGTTGCAGGATGAACCAAGACACTAATCTCCATACACGGGCTCCAGGATCCACCAGCCCCTGTCTCAAAGGTCACCCAAAGCCAGCCTTCAAATAAGCATATCAGAACCTTGGAACCCATCTGTTCTCCTCCAAGGTAGCGGCTGGCTCAGTACCCGTAACAATCTCCAATGAGACCAAATTCCGTATGAATGGGGTGCAGGCGGGGGCTGGGGGGTGGGGTTGTGGTGGAAAGGGGCCATCCGGACTCTGATGGAGAACTTTCTGCTCAAGGACAATCTCTGAGGCCCAAGAAGGCAGTAGTTTGACTTGGGGGAAAAAATGTTCTATCACATACCTGCATCAGATCTTGTTTTTCTTTTTCTCCTGAGCTAATAGCCTTTCTGATAGATTTCAGTTCCGTTAGGATGGCTTTGGCTTCACTAAGTTCATAGCCACTCTGGCCTCCAGACATTTTTTTATCAATTCTGTTAAAAGAGAGGGGGAAAAAACAATCAAGGAATGGCAGAGGACAAGTTAAACAGACCGCAGGAATTGGGTGTGGGGATGTCTTGGTTAGCTGATGTTTACTACTAGACTCACACACAGCAGCTTCAGGGTGGTGGTCTTTCCTCCATTCTCTTCTGACCACTTCAAGCTGAGACCCCTGCCACCCCCTACCTCATACCCAGCCCACTGCCATCAGCGTCAGGCTCAGGTTTCTTGTTTACAGTCTGGTTGCGTGGTCCCACTGCTGGCTGAACTCAAACCTCATCACACGCTGATCCTGGCAAAGGTTCGGGACCCGGGGAACTGATTTAGCAGGAAGACAGAAATGCCAGTAAACTGGGCAAGCCCAGGAACCTCGGGATTCATCACTGCCGTCTAATTTTATGTGCCATGATGTCCGTGCAAAACCTAGCACAGGGCACAGTCTGGTGACCATTAATAAAGGGTGGTGATTTTTGCTTATACTAGTGAGTATCCTATAATGTTTGAATTGTTTGGTTAGTTTCTTGTTTCTTTTTAAATATATGCAAAGTATTCTATTTTTATGACAGTTATGAGTCAAGATAAGATTGCCTGTCTTGCTGAATGAGTTCAAATCTAGGAATAAGACGCAAGGGCAGATGTGTTCATTTGTCCATTAATGTTGCATAAAGAGCTCCCCAGTGAGCTCGCTGACTAGTACTTGGTAAGCAGTACTTGCTTTCTGAACGTCCCACAGTTCACAGGGGCACCCTACGTCAGAGGATTTCAGGTAACTGAATTCTTCGGGGTCACAGGGCCCAACCAAATGACCTAATTCTTAAAAAAAAAAAAAAGGTTCAAGTTCTTCATCATCACCTGTGTTGCTTGAGACTCATTAGGAAAGAACCTGGGCCTTACTTCAGAAACACACAGCCACCCCCCTGTCCCACCAGCCAACAACACTGTGACATACAGCATTCCCAGACACACAGCATGTCCTTGTCTAATTCCCAGACTCTCCGGAGATACGGTACCTATCAAATCACAGAAGACTGAGCTAATTTGGTTTAAAACATTTACTAATTTGTATGTATTTCAATGTGAAGGGTATAGTCTGAAAAAAAAAATTAACGTGATATTGTCTTATTCACTCTTCTAAAGTTTACTCAAATGAGTGCAGTTTGTAGATAACTTATTTTTCCAAGTAGCTTTAGAAATAACTTATTTTTCCAAGTAGCTTTAGGAAATATTTTATGGTGCTGAACAAGTAATTAAAAGTCTGCAAGAACCTAAGAAAATAAATCTCATCATAAATCAATTTTATAATACAGTACATACAACCAGTGCCACTGGACGTCCAAAGTGGACATACGCCTCTCTTGCTGGCATCCATCTACACATAAGCTACAGTATCGCTGAGGGCCAAAGTGCAATGAGACCACAGTCTAAAATGAGTAACGGAGAGAATGAGACTACATTGATTCATCCAGCATAAACGATGGCACCAAAAATAAAGAAAACCGGGGCTTAAATCGGTGCAAATTCCACAAAATTATTCCATTTTACTATGAGTGCGAAGTTGTAAAGTCCTACAGTGGGATTCTGCTTAAATTTATTCCCAAAATATATTTTCGGTCATAACCCTAAGTAAGATTCCCTTTAGTATCCGGAACGTGATTTTTTGAAAAATATGGTCTCTGGGTATAATCAATTATTCTTCAATCTTCTGGTAGTTACGGTGGTAAACATTTGAATGAAAACAGCTTTATTCTGTCTATAGTTAAGATGCACGAGAGGCGTCTAATAGTGGATGTGGTATCTCTCTGCTCTTGGTTCCTCAGATTAGAATCACTGCAAGAGAAAGCCTGAGTTTCTGCAACAAATGGCTATTGTTTTCTTGTGGAATGTTATTGACAGATTCTTAAACATGCCTTGGATTCCTATAAAAACTGCTTGCAAGCAAACTGCTTTGAAACAATACATCATTGTTACATCGATATAACAAAAACAGCAAGTTTGGCTAACCTTTAATCCTGGTGGTGACATGAGTTATATTTTCAAGTGTCTTAAAAGTATGTAACGTGTGGCTAAATGCTTCCTGGTGCTCCTACCACAACGCCCTCCTGTGTGTTGATGGACAACCGACTCAACAACACATTTAGGTGAAGCCAGGTCTGCTCAGTTTTGGGGGCGCACTGCAACCTCCACACAGGCCCTCTGAACAGAGCTGGACCTGAGGACCATGTGGGGGGCCTTGGGATGGAGACCAGACACATGTGTCTGTTTTAACAGCTCCTCAGATTATTCTAATAGGCGGTCAGGTTGGAGAACCACCAGGATGGGAGCATCTAAAAGAATCTCATGGTCATGATCACACGAGGTGAGTGTCAAAACCAAAGACTGAGCAGGAGAGCCAAGTGTCTGAGATGAAAGTCATGTGGCTGGTGATGGAGAGGAGCTATGGGGATCCTGAAATACAGCTCCTCAACCAAACACACAGAACGATCTGCTCAGATGGCCCGGCCAGTGGACATGTGGCATCTTTAACAGGGTGACACCTTGCTGCCTCGGATGCTGTGGAGGCAGATGGAGGAAGGGCGTAAATCTGCCTGGGGAGGAGCCCCTGGGGAAGCCCGGGTGAATCCTGCCTCACTGCCAGGGCCCCCGTGGGGCGGCGTGGGAGGAGAAGGGGACCGGAAGGGCCGCCGGATACCTTTCAAGGGACGATGGCTTCAGCCCTCCCCGAGGCTGTGGGCTGCGTGAACCGCTACTGCGTCCCGGCCTCGGAGACCCTGGGGTGGGCGCTGCGGGGGCTGGACGCCTGGGTGCGCCTGTCAGGGTCTGACAGGAGAATGGCAGCTCCCGGGGGCTGCAGATGGGGCAGAGAGCCCCAGTCCTCCGACCCGCCCTCCATCATCCACGTTCTCGTCCGTCCTGGCTCAGCCTGGGGCCGGGATCCACTCCGCACAAAGCTGGAAAGGGCAGAGGGAACTCGGGAGCCCGGACACTCACTTGGCTGTCTGCAGACACCCCGGACTGGCTCCCTGAGGGCGGGAGGCATCAGGTCCCCCTGGGGCTGCCAGAGGCGGACAGGCCCCCTGGGTCGGGCTCCATAGAGAACCTGGTCACCCCAGCCTGTCCTGGGCCCCATCTCCTGGCTTTGCTTTTATGTGAGGCTGGCCGGCAGGCCTGTGAGATGAAGCTGAATCTCTCACTTCGGTTTCCGTGGGTCTTCCACCTATTAGGGAAAACTTCAGACCTTTTCAAAGTGTATAGCAGATTTTCCCAAGTGTCTTTTCACTGTTCTATGGTTGATTGTTTTCTTGTGTTTTTTTGTGTGTGTGTGCGCCAAGCTCTGTGTGTCGTACTTGACTACTCTTTGAGAAAAGTCTTATGTCATCTGCACTTCTGCTTTCTTTGGATTGGCTCAGGGGTCTTGGATTATTTGAGAGTTAATTTCGTTATTCTCATACTCACTGTTTCAGAGTGGCGAAGCCTTGTTCTTTATAGAGCAATTCCTGCTTCATCTGTGAGAGTTCTCGCTTCAGCTTTTTGACCTTTTGTGAGAAATCAATGTAAATATGAATGTTTGTAAATAATTAGCGACACAGTTTTAAAAGGTAACCTATTAGTAAACTATTAAACACATAAACACAGCCACTGGTTTAATGTTAACTCGTTTCTCCTGGATATAGATTCCACGGAAGGAGATTAAGTAAGTGTAGGTTATCGGTGATGCGCATTATTACTCAAAGTCGCTCTCATCATCTTCTGTAGCAGAGTTGCTCTGAGCTGGACATCATGACTGGCGGTGCCAGGCAGCACTTCTCTGACCACCCCACAAAGGCCATTACTCTGTTTTGTTCAGTTCACAGCATTTTCCAAGAGCTGAAATTGTCTGTGTACTGGTTTCCTGTCTGTCCCCCATGGAAGAGTAAGCAGCATCACATCAGCTGTATCCCCAAATTTGTAGATCGATACCAGGTGAACACCACGGGGACAACAAATAATTTGTTGTTGAACTGGTAACAATTATTTTTTCCCCATTATCTTTGGAAATAAGAATACTAAAACCTGCCAGGTCAGAGATATGGTACAAGCCTGCATGGGTGTCAGAAACTTATTTCCATATAGTAAGTTGCAACCTAAAGTTTTAAGCATGTTCTGGTGTATAGTAATTCCATGTGTTTTGCACTTTTATTTCCTGTTTACTCTATTCATTCCACAATATGTGTTGACTCTCCACAGTGTATCAGATCCTGGGTCTGAAAGTACGAATAAAACTACGAATAAAACAGACCTGATCTTTGCCTTTATGGGTTTTACAGAACAACGAGGGGGCCTGACATTGAGCAAATAATTGTCCAATGAAATAAACCTTACCAATTGCCATAGGTGATTGAAAAGAATAGCACAGGATATTTCAAGATATAAAATGGGGACAGAGGGGCTTCCCTGACCAGAAGGTCCACAGGCCTCACTGATTGAAGGGTCCCTGCAGGGTGGAGCTTGCGGACACACCCTAAGCTGTGCGGGGCCAGGGCAACCTCAGCAGGCATCTGGGATTTAGAGATTGGGGAGGGGGACCGGATTTCTTGGGGGAAGATCAAGGGTTTCTGGTAAGACAATTATTTTTCTGATACCCGCGGTACTTAACTGTCCAGACTAGAGATATAGAAGGGAGGGTCACTGACATAAGGATGCAGTTTTTACATGCATGAGCATAAGTGAGATCCTCTAGAGACAGTGTGTGTGCAGAAGGGACGGAAGTTCAAGAACAGAACAAGTCGGGTGTCTGCAGCACTCAGAGGTTCATGAGCGGAGGAGATACAGGACATGGTGAAGCAGAGGCAAGAGAAGCCAGGGAAGCAGAGAGCGCTGTGGGCCAGAAGGGAAAAAGTCAAGAGGGAGAAGAGCCGCTCTGAGGACTCAACGACAAGGATGAGGGTGGCATGACACTCATGAGTCTAGGCCGTGAGGCCCAATATTTTGGCTACAGGAGATGCTCCATAATTTACCTGCTAGGTTTACCAGAAGGCTTAACAGTTTGAGCCCCAATGCACTTACATTTTATTAGGGAAGAGGAAACAGAAATAATTGTGTTAGAAGAACATATATGTCTTCTTATGTGTGTGTATGTGTGTGTGTGTCTGTGTGTAACCGAATCACTTTGCTGTATAAGAGGGATTAACAACATTGCAAATCAACTGTACTTCAATAAAAGTAAACTAAAACAACTGTGTTGCAGGGCCCAATTCCTAACTACACAGAGAGGTACAAACGATGCTTCTGGACCCCAAGGAGGAGAGGATTATCCTGGCCTGGGAGAGGAAGGTCTTGAAGGCGCTTCAACATTCACACAGAGCAACAGCTCACTCACACTGTCCAGTGAGGACTCGCCGGTTTTAGCATCAGACTCTGACCACATCAGGAGCCATCAGTAATCTCAGTTCAGTCCACGTGTGATTCTACTTCTGACAGCACTCTCAAACAGTTTTTTTTTTTTTTAACCAAAAAAGACCAGCATTTTTATTTAAAAACAATAGTAGCAGCAGCAGAAATCCAAAAAAATCAATAGTAACTCAAATAGCTGGGCTGAAATCTGTGTCAACCTTTGAAACATGATGCTATCTACTGAGCCCTCTTGGAACAACCGAATTAAAAGTGTCCCTCACAGACATAAAACTTGAAAATCATTTGGACTTCGATGACACACCCATCTAATTTCTTTCAAAAATGATCATTTAAGGACTTCCCTGGTGCTACAGCGGATGGGAATCTGCCAGTCAATGCAGGAGACACGGGCTCCACCCCTGGTCCGGGAAGATCCCACGTGTCACGGAGTGATTAAGCGTGTGCACCACAGCTACCAGGCTTCTGTGCTGCAACTATTGAAGCCTGTGTGCCCAGAGTCGGTGCTCCGCAACGAGAGGCCGCTGCCAAGAAGAGCTGCCCCTGCTCACTGCAACTAGAGAAAGCCCAGGCACAGCAATAAAGATCCAGATCAGTCACAAAAAAAAAAGGTTTTTTTTTTAATGATCATTTAAAATTTAAATGAACTTCTGACAACTCCGACTCTGCTCTGCTTAAGTGACTGTATTAAGTGCTTAATACACTTTTATTAATCTGCTTAAGTGAGACTGTATTGTGTGCTGGGTGACAAGGATAGAGGAGACTGATGCACCTGTGCTTTCCCTTCTCCTCCGTTATTTACTTTTCCTACACTTGGCTGAAAGCTACTGCTTTTATCCTGGGGAGGCTTCTGAATGGATTACATCAGTGATTCTCAGCTGCCTAATATCAATGTGCATGTTATTTTGTCAAGGATGAAAATGTTTGGTTCTATTATAATGATAAGTGAAAACAGGTATTATTTCCAACTCAATGTTACTTGGGATTGTTTCTGGTTTTTAAGAGTTTGGTCTTGGGACTTCCCAGGTGGCCCAGTGGCTAAGACTCTTTGCTCCCAATGCAGGGGTCTCGGGTTCGATCTCTGGTCAGGAAACTATATCCCACACGCAACCAACTAAAGATCCAACATGCCAAGAATGAAAAAACTCCCACATGCTGCAGCTAAGACCTGGTGCAGCCAAATAAATAAATAAAAGAAATAATTAAAAATAAATAAGAAAAGTAAAATAGAATCCATTTCTATTTCTTATATAAAGTTTCTTATATATAAAGTTGCAAATGGAACTCTGTTAGAATACAATTGTATTTTTAAAAAAAGAGTTAGATTGTTAAGTGTCCAACACCTTTTCTTATCAGAGAGCCATCTGACGTCTTTAGCTATCACTGTTTTCTACTCTCATGCTCCAATCCAGTTTCAATGCAGGACACAGAACATAAAAACAAATACCCTCAGGTCACAGCAAAGGGTTACGCTAGTGCTGACTGCCAAGTTCAGCACAATGTGGACTCAGTTCAGCTCAGTCGCTCAGTTCAGTGTCTGACTCTTTGCGACCCCATGGACTGCAGCACGCCAGGCCTCCCTGTCCATCATCAATTCGCAAGGTTTACTCAAACTCATGTCCATTCAGTCAGCGATGCCATCCAACCATCTCATCCTCTGTCGTCCCCTTCTCCTCCTGCCTTCAATCTTTCCCAGCATCAGGGTCTTTTCCAATGAGTCAGTTCTTCACATCAGGTGGCCAAATGACTGGAGTTTCAGCTTTAGCATCAGTCCTTCCAACGAATATTCAGGACTGATTTCCTTTAGGATGGACTGGTTGAATCTCCTTGCAGTCCAAGGGACTCTCAAGAGTCTTCTCCAACTCCCAGTTCAAAAGCATCAATTCTTTGGTGCTCAGCCCTCTTTATAGTCCAACTCACACATCCATACATGACCACTGGAAAAACCATAGCCTTGACCAGACAGACGTTTTTTGGCAAAGTAATATCTCTGCTTTTTAATATGCTGTCTAGGTTGGTCATAACTTTTCTTCCAAGGAGCAAGTGTCTTTTAATTTCATGGCTGGAGTCACCACCTGCAGTGATTTTGGAGCCCCCCAAAATAAAGTCTGTCACTGTTTCCATTGTTTCCCCATCTATTTCCCATGAAGTGATGGGACCAGATGCCATGATCTTAGTTTTCTGAATGTTGAGCTTTAAGACAACTTTTTCACTCTCCTCTTTCACTTTCATCAAGAGGCTCTTTAGTTCTTCTTCGCTTTCTGCCATAAGGGTGGTGTCATCTGCATATCTGAGGCTATTGATATTTCTCCTGGCATTCTTGATTCCAGCTTGTGCTTCATCCAGTCCAGCATTTCTCATGATGTACTCTGCATATAAGTTAAACAAGCAGGGTGACAAGATACAGCCTTGACATACTCCTTTTCCTATTTGGAACCAGTCTGTTGTTCCATGTCCACTTCTAACTGTTGCTTCCTGACCTGCATAGAGATTTCTCAAAAGGCAAGTCAGGTGGTCTGGTATTCCCATCTCTTTCAGAATTTTCCATAGTTTGTTGTGATCCACACAGTCAAAGGCTTTGGCATAGTCAGTACAGCAGAAATAGATGTTTTTCTGGAACTCTCTTGCTTTTTCAATGATCCAATGGATGTTGGCAATTTGACCTCTGGTTTCTCTGCCTTTTCTAAAAATGTGGGCTAAAATAACTTGGACTCTCTAAAAAAAAAATGTGGACTCGACTTGGAGGCAAAGATGAGAGGTAACATTCCAGGCACTGTGCTTTCAATCCTCACAACTACTCTATTAGACAGATATAGTTTTAATGCTTATTTTATAAGTAAGGGATCTCAGTACTAAAGAGAATAAGTAAACCACTCAAGGTACTCTACTACTAAGCAGCAGAGAGTGGTCTAGAACACTGGAAAACTACAATTATAAAGGTTTTAGTTATCAGTGGTATGATAATATATGTCAGATCAAAGACAATCTTTGTTGCTCAGTCACTAAGTCGTGTCTGACTCTTTGAGACCCCATGGACTGCAGCACGCCAGGCCTCCCTGTCCATTACTATATCCTGGAGTTTGCTCAAACCCATGTCCATTGGGTCAGTGATACCATCCAACCATCTCATCCTCTGTCGCCTCCT